CCTGGACAATGATCCCTCGCTCTCACAGGCCTTGGGAGGTAGGCCGGTCCTTGCCCACAGACAACCCGCCAACCTGAAGCATATTCTCACCAGCAACTACACACCGCACCATAATAACTCGAACTCAGGAACCAATCCTTGCAACAAACCTCGGTGCCAACTCTGCCCACATATATACACCAGCAACACCATCACAGGACCTAACCAGATCAGCCATACTGTCACTGGTACATTCTCCTGCACATCCACCAACGTAATATATGCCATCATGTGCCAACAATGCCCCACTGCTATATACATCGGCCAAACAGGACAGTCCCTACGTAAAAGAATCAATGGACACAAATCTGATATTAGGAATGGCAACATACAAAAACCTGTAGGGGAACACTTCAATCTTCCTGGACACACAATTGCAGATCTAAAAGTAGCTATCCTGCAGCAAAAAAACTTCAGGACCAGACTTCAAAGAGAAACTGCTGAGCTACAGTTCATCTTTAAGTTTGACACAATCAACTCTGGATTAAACAAAGACTGTGAATGGCTTGCTAACTACAAAAGCAGCTTCTATTCTCTTGGAATTCACACCTCCAGATCAGCTGCTAGAAGTGGGCCTCATCCTCCTTGATTGGATCCACCTGGTCATCTCCAGCCTGATCCTGGCCTGCATATTTATTCCTGCCTCTGGAAATTTCCACTACATGCATCTGACGAAGTGGGTCTTTGCCCACGAAAGCTTATGCTCCTACACTTCAGTTAGTCTATAAGGTGCCACAGGACTCCTCATCGCTTCTGCAGATTCAGACTAACACGGCTACCCCTCTGATACAGTTCTACAGCAGACCCCCATTCATCTGGTCCAACTGGTAGAGCCTGGCACGATACACAATTTGTATCCGCATCGATCGCCACAGGCAGCTGCTGGTTTGCCGGGTTCTACATTAACAAATAATGGTGCCCGTGGCTGTGAAAAGGACCCACAGCTCCCCCCGGCTGCCGAGCGGATGCGTAGGGCGCTACTGCCCCGCACCAGGGACAGCCAACAATTCAGCTAATCCGGAGCAGGCGGCTGCAGCGCTTCGTACACAATTTGTATCCGCATCGATCGCCACAGGCAGCTGCTGGTTTGCCGGGTTCTACATTAACAAATAATGGTGCCCGTGGCTGTGAAAAGGACCCACAGCTCCCCCCGGCTGCCGAGCGGATGCGTAGGGCGCTACTGCCCCGCACCAGGGACAGCCAACAATTCAGCTAATCCGGAGCAGGCGGCTGCAGCGCTTCGTGGGGCCGGGCTACGGCTG